AACGGCAACCCACACAATTCATTAGCCGCCGCCTCCGTATGCGCCCACAGACGATACACTGGAGAAAGTCATCCAAGCTTTGACATTCAGAGTCGACAGGACACATTGCCGTACGGTCTGGTGAATGTCGCAGATTTCCCTGCAGATCTGTACGTAAAACAGCCACGCGAGTGAGGGAGAAACTGAACGCATGGAAGTAGTCTGGTGTAGTGCATGAGATCTTATGCTTCAACTGCCCCCGCAACTATAGAGAGGAGGTTGCGCGAAAGTATAGCTCAAGACAGTTGCGCCGTTACGAATGATAACGTCCATTGCGTGGCACATAGAGTGGGCGGTGGGCGTAGGAAAGACTTACGAGTGAAACAGTTTAGTACAAGGCAAGCTTAGGCAGCATTCACTGCACACTTTTCCCTCATCTATCTGGCTCCAGTTGCAAAAAATGTCAAGAGCGGTGAGGAGCTTCAGCGTAGTGTCTTACAAAGCCTAACAGTCCGTCTACGCGTGCTACACACAACCAGATTCACCTAGCATGTAGTAGGCTTTTGTTGGGGTCGCTCAAATCTCGTATGTGTGAGAATGTTATAAAGACCAGTTTAGGAAGAAGGCACTGTAGCTTGACCGTCAGCCGTGGAAGGATCGAAGTATCCGGTCAGTTGACAGCCTCTCAGGCCACGATGCTTAGTGCATTGGGACAGATTGAAGCGCGTCAAATTTATTGTAGGGGGAATTCGATGATGTACCATGCGGATGGATTACCTCGTGTCAACCTCATCCTGTCCTTCCCCGTATACCAGTTGACTGTCCGAGCCCGTCAACAAAAGAATGATGGGATTGGGCCCAGTGACTGACACCGCGTGAAGGCCTACGTCCAGACATGACAGTATACGTCCACATGTACGGCGGCAGCTGTGGGCTCGCGCGGCCTCTAGGTAACCAATGAGCCTACTTGATTCATGTTTTGGTTGAGAGCATTTGCAGTGCAGCACGTTATGGGGGCTGCTTCCGATCACGAATACCCGAACAACCGCAGACTTTTTGGCTATAGAGATGATGGCTCAGGCCGTCAATCAGGTAAGAGGAGAGCCACCGGAGGTCATAAGCGCTGATAGCAACTGTGTGAATCGACATATCGATTTCGCTCCCGGATTTCAAGCGCTGCGAGCACACTGTCAGATGACGCAATCGCATTCGCAGCCAAGGAAACACGCGGCGAGAAATCAAAACAGGCGGCGCATTGCTTACTGCTACGCCACTGTCTTCGAGGATGGGCTCCCGTGTGGTTCCGAAAACTCAGATGAAGAAGCTACTAAACTAGCAAAGGTGGTATGAAGCACGTTTTCGATCAATTTTCGATGCCCACGTAAATCCAGACTTACGCATGACACTTATTGTATAGCAAATTAGCAAATTTGTATCCATAGCAAGAGAATAGCAGGGTTTGATTGCGAACCCCTTCAAATTACGAAATACAGTAAAAAGACTTGCTAGTAATAGAAGCGAAAAGACGAATTCCAAGAAGAAGTCCCGAACAAAAAGATACGATCAGTGGAACAAGAGCTTTATTGTCCTAACGC